AGAGTCTCACCGGAGTTCTTTACTAATGTCCTAGATCGTGGTTTGGGTTCGTTTCCTTCGCGATTTGGGGGTACTAATCACATACGCTCTTACTGCTCTTAATTAAGAAATTTATGTTCCTGCTGATTAAATTTTTTAAAAAATAAAAATCACATGCATCATTCAACAGAGGCGAATGAAAGATGATCCATAATGATCAAGCACGCAATGGGCGGATGCCCACAAATATTAAAAAAAAAAAATCACGCAATTGGCAAGTTTACATGATTGAGCAGCTCTGTTTATTTTCTTCACTAAAGTAATCGCAGCAGCCGGTACCCCAGCTGTCGTAAATTGGTCTTCCATAATAACCAACATATTGGACTGGCCCACCATGGTAACACGGGTTCCCAGGCATTCCACTATGACTAGAGCCTTCACTACACCAAAACCCGATTACCGGAGAAGCAGGTGGCGGGTAACGCGAATTACTTGTTTAGTCGTCGTCGCTTGTTGGTGGCGCTGTTACAGGGTCGTCTGTGGGGTCTGTCGGAGGCTCAGGCGGAGGCTTAGGCTCAGGCGGAGGCTTAGGCTTAGGCGGAGGCGGAGACGGAGGTATCGCAATGCTCTTGATGCATCCACCACCCTTGCAGCATAACTTGTCCCTGATCTTCTCCGGCGAGCAGCTCACCACCTTAATTGTCACCTTGTTTGCCTTCTCATCATACACCTGGTCTCGTATTTCTTTTGTTCACAACATAATTAATTAAGAAGCAGCTCAGTCTGTTTCTCTCAATTTTATACATACACGTACTAGAAAAGAAAAATAAATAATTACATATACTTATACTTTTTTTATACATATACTTACACTTTTTTTACCGTAAGTATAAGTCTTGAGATGCATATACCTACAGATTTTTATCATATATCTACGGTTTTTGTCCATAGCTAAATGGCAAAAATGCTGTAGTGTAAAGAGAAGCTAGAATTGAAGAAATTAAAAAGATAGAGACCACTCACGAGGGAATTTACAGAAAACTTTCTTGACCTTCTTGAAGCACTTTGGGCACTGCAGGTTCACATCTAGCACCATCATTGTCACCTATATGAAAGACAATAAATCATTGATCAGAATCAGAGAAAATTAACGGATGGGAAGAAGTAGAAGATTCAGGTTCTGATTCTTCACAAAA